ATTGGATGAGAGCTTCATGAAAATGTATCAAAACATGGGTAGCCGGGGCTGGGTGGGTGCGTGGCGACGTGACTGAATTCGGTGAGACAGGACGAGTTGTACAATTTGCGTTCTCTCATGTTTCCGTTTGTTCTGCGAAAACTGCATTTCCCAACTAACAACACGGGGTTCCGTCAGTTGAACTTATCCTCACCAAACGCACTTGAGCGCGCATTTAATCAATCCCAGGGAATATTAGAAAATTACGCGTAAAGAGGTCAAAATGTAGTACAACCGCCAACAGGTTCCGAATCCATACATGGACTGCATGCATTCATACCCTTGTAGAGCATATGCATCAGGAGCTAGTGAACTGAGGTTTATAAAAGAGAACACTTAATTCGATAATCAGTCTATGTATCATCTAGTGTTTTCGGCACTTGTGTCTAATTATAGTGGATAAGCAAATAAGGCCTAGAGGAGATACAACTGTGACACAGTAGCTAAGCTGGTACAGACCCCAAATATGCTGTATTGGGAGTGGCGAATCAGGAATCCAGCTGAGTCTGTTCATATTTTTTTTCGATTGGATACTGATGCACAATGTGAATTGATTGGTCTTCCATCCCGGGTATGGTTTACGCTAAAACGGCATCTATAATAATTCAGATAAGATTCACCTCCAGGAACCATGTGGATAGATAACTGCCGTGTCATATGACCGAGGTCGAGTGGGTCACAAACGCATCTGAACGAGTATACAATCATTGAATCGGTCTTTATTCAGTATAGTCATCAGTAGCGAACTTTCGAAAGCGTAGCATAGGTGCATGGCGTTGAATGTGGCTTTAACTGTTCCACTAAGCCGTCTTAAGAAAGTTTCGGTGGCAAATTCGCCCATAAAAAGAAAAGTAACAAACAAGATCTTCTTTTGCACCCTGTCAAAGTGTTCTTTTGATACCTGTTCCATCATATTTCATTGAATAAAACGGTCTGAGTAGCCATTGCTTTTGAGCTCGTTGGAGATAAGCTTGAGTTCATCTTTTAATTATAAGTTGTAAGAAGATTATCTGAGTTATAGATAACAAACATTTTATCAGATTCCTCTTCAGCTTAATCGGGACATAACTGTCAAAGTTCATGTATTGGTCACTCCATGTTTTCTTACGGTACACACGGTGTTGCATAGATAGATTTATCAAGTCTTCTAATGAGGAGAGAGTATATCTAGGAGTGGTATTCCGTCATCTGTTTCTACCTCCTTTATAAACTTTATGGCATTGTGTGCTGAGTTGAACTTTTCTAGCAGTTGATCCAGTCCGCAGTTTGAATCAGGTACGTAAAATATATTGTCTACCAACGGAAAATATATCATAAGGTATGCATATGAGCCATTGAAAACAATTGCTCGCCTGAAATTGTGTTCTAAATGCGAGTATGAACTTATTTTGAAAGGTATCTCTTGTTCGTTCCTGAGCGGCCTTACATTCCATTATCAAATCACGGTGTGCTCTGAATTTCGTTGCTTTCTCTCATCCTTATGTCATAGCTAAGATTTTATTCAAAGGAATTTCTATCAACTAATTTGTTCGGAGAATTCCCCGACCCCGAAAAACACTTTCTAGTGTATGTTTGACGTAAATCGAATTTCAACAAGGAATTCACAAACAAGAGATTACACAACGTAGTCATGATCACTTCATTGCAGCTCTACACGTGCATACTGCAGTCAAGGTGACTTTGTATTATCAAATTTGTCTCCTTCGTGATCATCATGGATTGAGATGTGTGAGAATAAACCGTTTCTCGTGACTGCCGACTGAAATTTCTGAAGCTATACTGATAAGGTTTTTTCCCAGTTTTTCTGACTCAGTACTTACATTAGTCTTTGAAGTTTATTTTCAGTTAACCTTGGTATGTGCTACGTACGTATTCGTCTATCAGTTTCTATTTCTAGTCCAATCGCATGACACAGTTGATCGTGATAGCAATGATTTAATGCCCGTCCAATCCCGTTTGTCCGTGCGCCAGCTTGACCTAGTTTTAGGTCATCGTTTAATCAATTGATGTATTCTCACAATCATGCATTAAATCGTTAATCTGGTTCCGCTCAGCAGACTGCCTTGTGTGTTCTGATTTCCTGTGTTGAGTTACGTGCCCTAAAAATACTGTGCATAACGTGGCGATTGGAATTCGGTCTTCACGATATGGTTATTGATGAAGACGGAATATTTGGGAATGGTAACAAATCCCTTTGAACTAAGTGTTGTGTTTATTCGAATAGTTTCTCTTATTCTCAAACTGAATCACGCATCTGTTGTGCCAGATGGAAGCAAACAAATAAGTAAACGATAATTCCAGTAGGTATTTTGCTCCCAGTGCGTAACGTAAACGTGGCCGGTCCGTAGACCGGTGAGCAAACAGTGCACTACCACGCAGGCAGGCTGACAACTGGCTCAAGCGTTACACAACATCCGATTGCGATCAAGCAGGCATTCAAATAGTCAACGAATCAATCCGCATGGACAATCTAATACTAACACCTGATTATCGGGAACCGATCGATATGGTGATAGCGTTATTCTACATTACGTGAATGTGTGCATGTGTGGTAGCAGGCGGCATCTGTCAATCAATGAATCAATCCGGTCACAGACGTCAATTGTAGGCCACAGCAGCATGTAAACATAATCACAATCGACAGATTGTGCTTTCTTCTTTTTGTTTGTGGCTGGATGAACAATTTTGGTCCCTTCCAGTCATGTCACAATGCAAGTCTCAGTCACTGATTTGACAGTTCAACACACGAATTACATCACCATCCAACTTTTGGGTTGAAGTATGCTTTCCTATCACCATAGATAGTCCGTTATACCAAGCCTCAACCGTCCAATAACCGTTTAGGGAACAAATTACGTTTAACGAGAGATTTCACTTCATGCGTCTGACAGTTTATTTCATTACACATTATCAATCATACATTTACAGTATAAAAGCGATCTCATTCGGCAAGTTTTGTTCCTTCTTTATCTGTTTACGATACTGGATTAGAAAGAGTGAGTAGTATAATGCACAAGCCTTTCAGTGACTTTATTCTATGATGGGAGTCTGTTTTTTCAAAGGGTCAGAAGAGATAATTTAGAACCAAAATTTTGGAAACTGATCGACATGAGGGGAGTGACCGACCTTGAGACTCCAGTGATTACACAATATAGATAAATCAGTTGAGATATTTCAAAGTTGGAATGTGTGTGTTGCATAGTTGATAATCAACTCATTTACCGTGGAATTGACCTTCTACTTCTATGTTTAGTAATATTTGTATGCTTGTACACATTCATTCACCATAACTGAATAACCCCATGTGCTATATATACATGCTTATTTGTTTAAGTAAGCGATCGAAAAGGTTAAACGAACTGTTAACATGTCGCGACATTTGTCTTCTTTTTTATATTGATGAAATGGATAAAGGAGACCCAATACTTCCAGTTTATAAATCAAAGGTTGCCTGAAAAACGAAGAACTAGGGACAGGAGAAAGTATACAAGCAGGTTAAAGTTTAGTTCGCTACCTCATGCATCT